ACTATTATGAAACGTTTATCTTTGCTTGAGTCGAACGCAAATCTTTCCAAACGTCATATGGAGGAACAAAACAAAATTCTCAGGGATATAGCTTCAATGATCGAGAAAACCCAAATACAACAAATAACAATCGCTAACCAATATAACGAAACCACCGAGCATTTAGTAAGTGTAATTTTCAAAGCTCTAGAGTGAATTTACATTCGATTTCTGATAACCAATTATATCAACTAGAAAAAAAAATATGAAGAGAGGCTTAACAAAGCCCTGATAAATATGGATAAGAAACAGATTCTGTTTGATGGCGAATTAAAAGATCTCTACGCCAAAACTCAAATGCTAGTTAACGAGGTAAGATTAAATTATGTTAACTTTTCCATTGCTTAAATGAATTCTTATTAGTGCTAATTCATTCCATTTTCATTTAGGTGATCTTTGCCAAAAGACTATTTTCAGTACTTGCTTTTTTACTGTTAATCTATATCGGCATCAAGCGTGATTGGTATAATGTGAAAAGCATACTTATGGCTTTTCATTCGACCATGAACGAAAGAATCGTGCTACCGAAGTTGACAGAGAAAAAAGGAAAAGCCACGTACAATTTTGAATATAATCATTTCTTTGAAAATTCTGATCAAATCCTGGATGCTAACATTTCAAGACCTATCGAACAAATTCGGATGTCGCCCTATCGATCGAAACATAATTTAAAAAATTCACGTGGTATGCTGGTTCGTCCCATTCGTCGTTCTTAACATTTGTTGAAAACAAGATAGTGAGACGATACACACAAAAAAAAAAAAAGCAAAGCAACCGATATCAGACATTACATTCTGTAACATATTAAAAATTAGAAAATTTTAAAAAGAAAAAAAAAACCGAACATTTTGTGGGATGAAACACCATTACTTTTTGTAAGGTGATAGGAGGGAAATTCTTGTAATATATATTGCTGAACTCCCGCAATATATATTTCTATTAGTATATTATTTTGTTATGTGCTTGAATTACAAAAGTACATCTAATTTCAGAATCATGTTGATTCTGCAAGGATGGAAGGACATTTTGGTATGAATAAATAACATTCTTGAGATGCCAGACTTCGCTGATGTATGCACATTGCGATATAGTACTCCACAAGCTTGGATTTTTCTATATGATAAAATAAGACATAATACCATTTAACATTCAAACTGAAGATATTTTAAATCGCTAGTTTAAAGTGTTGGACGAATAAGGAAAATCTATTTAAAATATCACCAATTCGCCCAGACAACTTTCCGAATACGAATTAATTGTTTATCAACATATACTGTATATATTGTACAGTATATACAGTACAGTAATATCAATACAAAAAATATATATTTAAATATGTCCATTTATTAATGTGGAAAGTATACGTTCGCTTAATACTAATTAAAAATATCACAAGTTAATCTTAGCATTAAAAGGTCTGTGTTGCTCTTTATAATGATAATCTACATATACATTTCTTTAGAATTATTATTAATTTAAATAATCTCAGATTTCTATTAAAAAATTTACAAGTACTGTATAAATCTTAATCGAAAATGATATGAACATGAAACATTTTTCAGATAACTACTATACTACTAAGAAATAGGCAAAGAAAAAAAGAAAATTTTTTGGAAGGGAATTCATAATAGGAAAAATTAGTACTCAACTAAAGTCGTGCCACGTCTAATATTAGCCAAGTTTAATTTTAGCTAAACAATCCATTGTGCCTGTAATTACAAAAGTTTCATGACACTAATTGCAATTATAGACGACCTCTAAACCATTAAGCCATAGATTGGCCTGGCATTATATACTTACAGTATTTACAAAAGTTCATGACATTTTGCAAACAAATCCGACCAGGAATACTAAGCTCCTATTATATTCTCGCAAAATTAAAAATGATCCCCGCAACTCTTCTAGAACCACTCTAAAAAGTGTTTTTGCAAAGAAATCACGATTTTTTCCGTACCTTTGCAAAGGAATAATTGATTACGCGTAGCAAAAAAAAATCCGAAAGAATGATTTTTCTCGCGATAAATGGTTTTTAATAAAAAAGGAAAGGTATTTTCTCGTTAAAATAAATAATAAAAAAAAGATATACTGAAACATGTGTAAAAAAGAAAAAGGTAAATAAGAAAGAAAGGCCTGAAAAGGATGAAGAGCAAATTTCACCTCTTTTATAGTTGAAATCACGAAAAATCACGTAATTCGTAAGATTCTATCTATCACGTTATGGGCGTTTGTACACCCATTTTAAAGCAAAAATTTTTAGATCACAAGACTAAAACCACATTAGTTATATGATCACAAACATTATATTTACTATAAAATAAATTATAGTTGACTCGAAGCCAAGTCTAACAAAAGACTCGAGTATATAATACGTGATCTGCAAATTCGTAATTTTTACTACGTGACTATCACTATCACTATTATCATCACGTGATTAAAATACGTATAATCTTTTGCATATAAGATATGTAAGACGTGTAAGATTACGTAATATACACAAGCGAACGCGTTAT